GCAAAATCTCATGAAGCATTTCATCTATATTTCCTTTTGGAATTTAATAGTTTTGTGTCTTATATTTACTTCTTTTCTCCACTTTTAATTGATTTTTGTATATGGTGAGAAATAAAGGTTGTAATCTTTCTTTTGCAGGGGATATCTAGTTTTCCCAAAACCACTTATTGAAGAGACCCTTGACCCTTTGCCTCTTTCAAAATCAATTGACCATAATTGTGTTGATTTCTTTCGAGGCTCTCTTTTGTGTTCCATGCATCTATCTGTTCCATGATGGTACCATACTCTTTTGATTACTATACTTTTGTACTGTATTTTGGGATTCAGGCAGTGTGATTCCTCCAACATTTTTCTTCTTGCTTATTATTGTTTTGGTTATTTGGAATCTTTAGTGGTTCCATATGAGTTTTGTTATTTTTTTCTATTTCTGTGAAAAATTTTATTACAATTTTATGGGAATTGCATTAAATTTGCACACTGCTTTGGGTTGTATGGACATTTTAATATTAATTTTTTCAATCCATGAATATGGCATCTTTCCATTTCTTTGTGACTTCAATTTCTGTCTTCTATGTTTTATACATTTTAGTGTGTAGATGTTTTTCACATCTTTGGTTGAATTTAATTTTAAGTATTTTAATTTTTCTTGTAGCTATTGTAAATGTGATTTGTATAGCACAGTTCAGAAGTACCAAATTATCAGATCCTTGAATGCACCACAACATGTCCACCTTTCACATCATAGTTTGAACCTCTCTGTCTCTCTGGAATGCTTCTCCCTCATCTCCACTTTTTCATCTCCAAGTTTCCAATTTATCTGCTACATGAGGGTGCAAAAAGCACTTCCAGAAAGCTTTAATTTACTCCACATTTACCTACTCCCTCCTCTGTGCTAACATGACTACCCTTCCACAGTAGCATTTTCAAATGAAACTCATTTGTTTACCATTGTTTTCTGATTTAATCAGTGTGTTCTTCAACCGAAGGGACTCTGTCTTATGCATATCATCATTATTCATACTTAACAGTAGCCAGACATATTTAGTAGTTGCTAAATAAATGTTGAATGAACAAAGACCATGGAAAGACTTCCAGTGGTATTATAAGTACACATGTATGTCTATGTAAAACAGATAAGGATTGTGGGTGGTATCATGGCTACATGATTGATGAATCTGACTCAGAATAACAGCAACATTACTTTTATTCTTTCTCTGTGTTTTCCCCAGCACTGGGCTCAACTCCTGTGATTTCTGTCATGGGATATGGTGATGGAGGCATTCAACTACTCTGCCAGTCCTCAGGATGGTTCCCCCAGCCTACAGTGAAATGGAAAGGTCCAAAAGGACAAGTTTTATCTTCGGGCTATAAGGCAAATTCAGACAGGAACAACCTATTTAATGTGGAAACCTCCTTTACATTCCAAGAAAATACTGGGAATTTATCATGTTCCATCCAGCTTGTTGAACACAGGCAAGTGGTGGAATCCAGGGTGTGGGTAGGAGGTGAGTGGATGCAGGAGGAGGAGAGGGCATGGGGATATGTGTTTTGTGCCATAGAGAGAGGAAAGAAGAGCTTCTTTCTTGGTATTGTTGTTTAGTATTACACAGGTTTAATGACTAACTTTGAAAGTCATAGGTAAGTGAAGGATAAAAAAATCATGAGAATTTAATTACATGGAAATAGAATTGTGTAAACTTTCAGAGGATGTAATTGTTTCTTATACCACGGGATTGACCCTGTGGTACACCTGTCCAAACCCATTATGTTCAAAATTTAAAAATACTAACAC